ACAAGAGGACAAACAAAAAAAAAACACAGCAAACTATAACTAAAACAAAACTCCTCAGCAGTAAGATTCAGACTCGAATGTCTTACATAACTGGTATCGTAGCATCGAGGCAAACACAATCTATCGCTCTGATTTCACTTCCATCTAGGAATAATCCACAGTATTCGTTTGTGAACTAGTTTTAGGCTATTATCAAAATTATGATCAACTGTAATTTAGCATCATCAAATCCATTCAAAATTTCAGGATACTTTTACATAAATGGCTATAATTCTTGATTGCAATGAGATATTAAAAAAAAAGAAGAAAAAAAAAGTATAACTATAAGTATATAGTTATTAAGTATAACTATGCAAACAAAACATTACATTTCAGTGTTTGGCTACTTGGTGGCACAATAACAATTGCAAACATAAAAAGACTCACCGTAACTTTTTTTGTTCAAGAATATTTGCCAAATTTAGCGCAGGAACATTTTTTTGGTCAAATCACTTAATCACTGAATTCCCCGCATGATTAACAGTTATGGCAAAGGCATCATTCCTGCATATAGCTTTATTATTCAATTTAGTAAAAAGGTTTTTTGAACAAAATGTCCAATTTTCTCAAACCTTAATACTGTGAAAGGACCGATTCTGCAAATGTACAAAAGATTCTATAAATATGGTAACCATAAAAAATACACTTCATCATGCATGCATCACCCCTGTTCTGAAATTTAAAAAACATTTGTAATTTTTTGTATGCATTATTTTAGTCATTACATTTGTGGCATTACTCACTAAATTATATAAGTACCTTTAACTCACTTAAATGCTGAAAGTATTAAACAAGCCAAATAACAGGCTTGTTTCCAGGACAAGTCCTCAATCTCCAAACTTTGAGATGCAACTTTTAAAGGCACTATAGCTGAATTCCCCGCATGATTAACAGTTATGGCAAAGGCATCATTCCTGCATATAGCTTTATTATTCAATTTAGTAAAAAGGTTTTTTGAACAAAATGTCCAATTTTCTCAAACCTTAATACTGTGAAAGGACCGATTCTGCAAATGTACAAAAGATTCTATAAATATGGTAACCATAAAAACTACACTTCATCATGCATGCATCACCCCTGTTCTGAAATTTAAAAAACATTTGTAATTTTTTGTATGCATTATTTTAGTCATTACATTTGTGGCATTACTCACTAAATTATATAAGTACCTATAAATCACTTAAATGCTGAAAGTATTAAACAAGCCAAATAACAGGCTTGTTTCCAGGACAAGTCCTCAATCTCCAAACTTTGAGATGCAACTTTTAAAGGCACTATAGAAAAATTTTGTATTAATATTTTTTAATAACAACATTAAGTATTATTATTAGGCAATACCTAGGATTTTTGTTAGACCTCAAATAGAATCACTACCAGCCCTTTTTTAGACTAGGTTTAGTCTAAAACTGAAAGCTTTTCATTATATAAAAGTATAAGTTAAATTAAATGTGAGGAGGGGGGGGACGAGACGAGCGAGGGGACGAGCGAGGCGACGAGACAGACGAGACGAGACGAGCGAGGCGACGAGACAGACGACGAGACAGACGAGACGAGCGAGGCGACGAGTGAGGCGAGACGAGCGAGGCGACGAGTGAGGCGAGACGAGCGAGGAGAGACAGACGAGACGAGCGAGGCGAGACAGACGAGACGATCGCGGATGATTAAGTTTTGCAGTATTGTGGATTTGGAAAAGCCTGTTGACTTTTGCAGTTTATCTAAGGTGATTTTGGACGTTTTTGTAAACATTCGCTTCTTATTTAAGTGGTTCCACAGTGTTTGCTGATTTTTACTTTATTTAAACTGTGTAATTTATTTATTTTATTTGACATCAAGGTGTATGCCATGCCTCCAAACTTTCTTATTAGTTTTGCTAATAAACGTTCTACGTTTCTTATTTATTTGGTTATATATTATACATGTTTACTCATTTCCAGTTTTGTATACCCATTTAAACTTTATGCAAGTTATTTGTTATTTTATATTAGGCATAGCCTTCCCTATAGCATGGTGTATTTTGTTAATAAAAGTTTTAGGCCTGTTTTATATAGGCCTATACGCTAAAGTGAGTTTGACGTTGTATTTAGTTGTTGCATTCAAGCAATTGATGCTGAGCTGCCACTAATTCGAAAGTGAAAGTAAAATGCGCACGGCGCTTAAAAGCGAATGAAAGCGAGGAAAAGAGGGAAAATTCAAACGAACTAAAAAAGAAAAAATTGCTTTACGCCGAATTGCTGCTATTTGAAAGTGCAAGTAAAATGTGCACGCCGCTTTTACAAGCTATTTAAAAGCGAGGAAAAGAGGGAACGCCCCCGCGGTGATACCGGCATTATTTCCTCAGCATCACAACCCTACAGTCAGCCAGTCATTCTCACAAAATAAATACTAGCACAAGGATTGGGAATTTGGAAAAAGACAAGGAATTTCAAAAGACGAGAAGGAAAAACGGCTGAATTTGCCAAATCAGAACTTTAAATGCAACACTGATTGAAATAAACGTCGACAGGATGCGTTTATAAAGTGTCTTACTCCTGAAATACTGCGCGAGCGCCAGCAGAAGACCGACCGCCTGGTTGTTGCTGTTTCCAGGACTGCAGGGAGCGGTGATGACCAGAGCCTCAGTCCGAGGAGCGCGAGGAGCTCGCAAGATCCCGTACACATTCGTGCCTCGAACCATCTGCACAAAACAAAGAGCGAAACATGTTTATATTCAACTGTACGTCACTCTCTCTTCAGTCTTACATCATTCTTGAGACGCTAAAGCATGCAAACAACTTCAGTCTACTAAACGCCTACATATCAATTTCTTTATAGTACTGTATAGTATTCCAAAAAACAGCTCACAGTCACAAGAGCTGATATGCATCAAGTGATGGTAATAACACCGACTCGGACACTCACATATCTTTCTTTGTTCTCGTCAGGGAAGGGCAGCTTACGGGAGAAGCTCTGAGTGAACACCTCCAGTCCTCTGGCTTGCATCGCTTTAACTAACCACTCCACCGGCATCCCACTGCAGAGACAAATCAGGATCATTTCTGACTAAACCTGCTTCATGCACACAGCATCACTTCCGCGTTCTGCTCACCCCGCCTTTGTTTTGTGAGCATCGAACTCCTTGGCGAGAGACAGCGCTCGCTCCCCGGAGGAGAAGCGCTCCTCCACCATAGTGGAGCCCATGGCGTTCTCGGACATGTATGTGCGCAGTGTGAAGGGCTCAAACGCCAGGCCCATGAACCACACGATGGCCGCCAGGTAGCACACCATACTGAACAACAGAGAAACAAATAATGAACAAGAAGTGATGGCAGAGAGTGTCAGGTTCACACAAGTGTAGCATGCTGTGATTTCAAAGGTGAAGCACCTACCATATGGGTGCGTTGAGGCGGGTCAAGAGGTTGGTCAGGGCTTTCCTGCGATTCGGGTCAGACAACAGACCCATGATGATAACCTACAGCTCTGCTTCAATAGACCTAATAAAACATCAAGATATTCTCATCTTAAACGTACGGAAGCACTGTATAATGGCTTGTATTGGTTGAACACCAGTGTTGAAGAGTTATTTTTCTGGAGAGACGCATACCTTATGGTCTTGTATATAATAATAGTTATATGTAGAAAACGATGGCTTAAAAATAAAAAAAAAAGTAAGATTTTTAATGCGTTTTAAAGACGTCTCTTCTGCTCAAGGCTGCATTTATTAGATCAGAAACACAGAAAAAGCAGTAAAATTGTGAAATATTATTGCAAATTAAAATAAGGGTTTTCTATTTTAATATACATTAAACTGTAATATATTTCTGAGATCAAAGCTGTATTTTCAGCATCATTCCTCCAGTCTTCAGCGTCACGTGATCTTCAGAAATCAGTATAATATGCTTCTTTAAAACACTTCTTTAAATCGCATTAAAAATCTTACAGATCCCAAACTATTAAACAGCAGTGTATATATATATATATATATATATAGCTTTAACATGCATTAAAAAATGCTTATAATATCATAACAGAAAATCTTTTTAATGTCAAAATGAATGCAAGGAAACGCCAGCACAAACAAAAACACCTCTAATCATCTCCCACAGCAAATTAATCAAACGAAAAGACCTCTTAACGCTTAAAAAGAGCAGAACTGTAGCATTATTAGGATGCATCACCTTAAGCAGCAGTATTGAGCAGCTCTTCCTCTCCTGCGACGAAGAAAACACAGTTTAGGAGCTTAGAACAACCGCAGAATGTGTTTAGACACTCGGATAAACGTCTCGGCACACCGCGCACTTACCTCGAGCTGGAAAACCATAAAACACGGGTGCGTTTGCAGCTGCAGTGCATTCATTTATTCAGAGTTCACGCTGCTGTTCCGTGTTCCGGTCGGAACTTACGCGTGAGGACCAACTTCCGGTGACGCTAAATGGGCGGGGCTTTAAAAATAAAATAAGAGTACAGAGGAAAAAAAATAATGCATAAAAGATGAAACGTGAATGCCATAAATCTATTCTTATAAATAAACGGTTTTATTTGCATGCAATTTAGCCACAGATGTATTAAATTAAAGATTAGTAGTAATAAAAATTACAAGTATTTGTCCATAAATATGTATTTCTATGTTTATATACTTATTTTTTTTAATGCATTTTCACATTAATGTTTTAATTTAGATATCCACATCTCGGAATTATAACTAATAATATTGTGGCTTTATGTGGCAACGGCGTGATAAAACCGTGTCAGTGATGTACATATGGATCATAATGTACACCGTTTTATCATCTAAAGCTCATTTAAGTGGAGTAAAGTGGTCAGGCTCGCTGCTGTATTCAGATCCATTTATTGCATTCAAGTTGTGTGCTCATTATTAAGCAAACATGTAATCAAACCAACTTCAAATGTTCCCGCACGAAGAAAAAAGCAACTTAAAGGTGCACACGCCACTCTCAATGCATTAAAAAATGACTTCAATGTTGCAATTTAATAGCTCAAATGAATAAGTGCCACACCCCCATTTCATTAAAACCCCTAAGCTGGCATTGTCTGTTATCCATCCTCAATCTACCGCCGCTTAAGCATTAGTTGTATTTGAGAATTAAGTCTGATTTGATGATCTGAAGACTAAGGCCAGCGCTAGATAGCTAGTTTTCAAACAACGCTTCTTGAAGAAATGAGGATGTCCTTGACGATGCACTGTGGAGAAAAAAATATAATTAGAGTACGTATTGCTGGTTCCAATTTCTTTCAGTGGCTGATCTACTAACGATCCTGCAAACATCAGAAGACATGCTGAAACATACCAGAGGCTCACAGAGAGTCGGCGTAAAGAGCTGGAGGCGGCAGGAGATCAATGTCTGCAAACTGGAAGCTTTCTGCCTCTCTGTCACGAACACAGACATGATCACACACGGCAGGCTTTGCCGTCACCGTGTCTTTAAATGATGTAAAACTCGATTATTTAGAGATTATTAAGTATTATAAAGCGGAGAGACAACAGTGAGCGCAAGCTAGATTCAAGTGATTATTACGTTTTGGCATTAAACAGCTTGAAAGATCAAAGACGATTTTGAATATAACTCCGACTGGATTCGTCTGAAAGAAGAAAGTCATATACACCTAGGATGACTTGAGGGTGAGTATTTTATGGGCTAATTTTCATTTTTGGGTGAACTAACCCTTTAATATCCCTTGTGTTGTGTCAGGTTGTTATGCAAAGAAAAACAGGTTTAATTAGGTCTCAGTGGAAAAGACAAGAGCTCAGAAGATACTGCACAACAAATGACCCATAAAAATACATGTTTATCATTACCCGTAAGAAATCAATGCGAGAGAAAAAAAAGTGTCAGTGCTGCTGGAAAAGGTGCAAATGTTCAATGAAAGAAGTGAAGAACAGAGCACATAAAAATATCTTGGTTACTACTGAGTATTTCTTTGAATTGTCTTCAAATATTTGTGTACACAGACCGAACATGAACACATGCTTATGCAGCTGTGTGTTTATCTGTAGCGTCAAACTACTCACTGTGTCTGCATGTCTTCAATACTCCAATCGCTGGAAGGATGATGAGCAGAAGAGTTGCTATCAACTGAGGAGAGAAGGGAAACATGATGAACAGCCACAATACTCAACACTGAGAGAGTAAAAACACATACTTACACATCTCAGGCATAGAGGTAGCTTTGATCTGACTCCTAGAACGAGAAAAATGAGAAACAACTCTAGAGATCTGTGTAAAATTCAGATGAACAGTTCAGAACCATTTTATGAAGTTCAGGCTCACAAATTTTCAGCTGATAGCGACAGTGTGTCATCTTCATACATCCATTCTTCACTGTCATCAGTGACTGGATGAACACATAGAAAAGAAAAGAGCTTAATATACACCACATGCACATTTTTTGATAATGTATTGACATGCATCAGGACATCTGCAGCGGCAGCCCAAAATACTGGCACCAATGCACTTTTTCCAAATCTACAATTTCATCCAGAAAGTCAAATGAAAACATATTTTGGTATAAACATTTATGTCTTTCATGCATAATAAAGTGAAAAGTACAATATACTCTCTCACACACACACACATATACAGAAGTATATTTTTAAACCTATAAGCATGCAAATATCACAACTAAGCAAAAATAAACAAGTCAATTCATTTGTTGAGAAAATTGTGCATTTAAATAAAGTGCCAATACTTTTGACCATGACTTCATAAAGAAAATAATAGAGGAGAAAACTTACAGCTACTTGTAAACACAAGATTCTGATGAGAGGACCTGCAAATATAACACATTTTGAAATAGTCATTGTTGCAGTTAATAGTAATAATAGTTATACTAATTTCGATTTTTATCATGAGATGCAATAAGTAACACTTCAGTTTTGGGAAGCAACATTGTATGGACACTGAATTCCTTTTAGTCACTATAGTGATTATCCATAATCAAGTTAAGAATTAAAAACTATACACATTTATGATGTGCATATTCTAGGGTTAAGTGTCCTGTCACTGGCCAAAAAGTTATAAGCAACTGCAAGTAGTTTTACACTTTCCCTAAAATTATCATGCTTCAAAAATTTTTATATTATTGATATTAACCCAAGCTAACTTGTTAGTTAATGCATATAATGCATGTTTTTCTAGGTATGAATATGTTGACTATTGTACCGTAGGTTCATTGTGTTCTTTACCTGCTGCTGACACTAAGGTCATCTCCATTGGTTTGGCCTCGGCCGGCAGCCTGCGAAACCTTTTTTCCGAGTTCAAGCATCTCCTTAATGTTCAACTCCACATTCATCACAGATATGTAGCCATCTATAACACGAAAACAGAATAAAGACATTTGCCTGCCAACTCAAAACATCCCAACCGCTGGGTCAAAACAACCCAATAGCTGGGTTTGTCCCTTTTTAACCCAGCATTTTTTAGAGTGTATAGATAGATGGATATATATTTTTCCCATTTACAAAATTGTAAAAAATACATATTTTCTGGTATCTGGAAATTATATAGCTATAAATCCATACACACTTTTGCTGGAAAATAATGGCATTCAAGGCAAGACATTGCGGAGTTCACTCAACAAAAAATGAAAATCATAATACCCATCATGTTGGCCATTTTGATCTTCAGCTGCATTAGACCTTCAAAAATGAAAAGAGTTAATAAAGCATATTCAGTATATTTTAAACTGTGTGGACTGCACCCGAAAACAAATTGATCTTCCGTTTATAGACAAGATTAGAGTGAAATAAATGCTGACAAACCATTGAGTGACATGCCAAATATTCCTCCATGTTTCTTCTTTCTGTCAAACAAATTAAGAGATCAACATAACCAATATTAAGACTATTAGCATTGACTAATACGCATTAGAACAATAAACTTTGTCCATGATCAAAAATAGATTCCCAAAACAGGTTTCCCACTTTTCTGAACAAATTCAAGGATCATTTCATATCAAGCAGCTATTCAAAAAAATTGTCAGCATATATGGCGTCTTACATAACATACCAAACATAATATTGATCTGTAAATGATATTATACATTAAACATAGTAAATTAAACTATATCTGTAGCTTAATTTAATAAATGCCAATTATAAGAAATAACCACTCACCACATGGCCATTATCGGCATACGGATCTGAAAGGGAAAACACATAAATCACATTTTCCATAAACCATACATTTTCTGTAAATTAAACAGTCCTGCTAGCATAATACTCACTTTTAGGAGCCCCTTTACACTTATAAGAGCTCTGAGCAAAAGAGAACCTAGGGACTGTTTCCACATCCTCATAAACATTATCAAAGCTTTCATGGAAACGCTTTTGTTGAGAAGAACTGAGGAAAAAAAGAACACATCTGATCCGTCTTGATTGCAGTATAATGAAAATCACAGAGAATACAACCTTAAAGTCATGCATGCAATGATTTCAGGAACATATCACATAACCAGATCAATTAAACGTATACTTTTGCATTGGTTCTGATGGAAGTTGGTGTTCAGCGCTCAGGTTGAAGGAGGCGTGCGATCCATTCATTCTCAGGTCAAAGGTCACTGGTTCTGTAGCAGACGTCAAGATTCCTGCGTCCTCTAAAGACTGACACAGAGCGTCTTCTGACTGCTTTGGACCAAAATGACTCGGACAACGCTGGACCAAAACAGCCTGTAAATGCAGGCCATCGTCTTCATCTGGCAGTGGTGGAGGCGGAGGCAACGAATCAAACCCTGGAAATTCAGTGGCCTCTAAATCTAGAGCCGCCAGATTTATGGCATTACTGTCTGTGGCTTCTGGTGCAGAAATGTCAAAATCTGGAAAATCGGGGGGAGGTACGCTTGCGTCCTCGAGTGATGCATTAGCAGTGGCCACAATCTCAGCCTCGGGTGCAGATTCTGGAAAGAAAGAAAGAAAAAAATGTAACAAAGAACAAGACTGAAATCGTTTCCTTGATATGAAATAATTCAGAATGGATCAGTGTTTCAAGCTGTTTAACAGAGATCACATTCTTCAGTGTATTAATGCAGCAAGCTGATATTTTGGCAACTGTTAAAATCCTACAGTTAGCCTAATGATCTATTTGTTTGTTTTTTAGTAGGGGTGCAAATGCTGGTCTAAAGTCCAAGGCTGGTCTCACCAAGGCTGCATTTATTAAATCAAATATACAGTAAAACATTAATAAATATTACGCCTTGAAAGAACTTTCTCAAAATATATATTTTAAAATGTAATTTATTCCTGTGATGGCATACCGTAGCTGAATCTTCAGCATTTTCGGAATGATTTCTGAAGGATAATGTGGATATTGTAGCTCACTTATTAATAATGGTTCTAATTATTAATGTTGGAAACAGTTTTTGCGGCTTAGAATTTTTGTGGAAACCATGATTTTTGGATGAATAGAAAGTTCAATAGAACGGCATTTATTAAAAAATAAATCTTTTATAACATTATAAATGTTTTACTGTCACTTTTAATCAATTTAATGCATCTTTGCTGAATAAAAGTATTAATTTCTTCCTTTCATTTTTTTTTTTAAATATTACTTGCTCTAGTGTATCAATATTTTTTAAACAAAATATGCGTTTAACATTCTGATAATGATTTCTGAAGGATCATGTGACACTGAAGACTGGATTAATGGCTGCTGAAAAAATCAGCTTTGCCAAATTGTTTTTTTTTTAATGTATTCATATAGAAAATTGTACTAATATTTCACAATATTACTGTTTTACTGCATTGTTTATCAAATGAATACAGCCTTGCTGAGAAAGCTTTTTAACCATTTCTGGGTTGCTACTGCAGATAATTAATCTCAAAGACACAGTATTCAGTCTAGAGGTTCACTGATATATGAGCAAACATCAAAGAACAATACATCACAAAAGAAGAAAGGTAGGTGAATGAGCTTCTACAAACCAACAGTAAGTGCTTCGCTTGGGTCACTGGTGTGAAATCCAGTCTTATATTTGCTCAGATCCACATGTGGGGGTCTTGGCGGCCTTGAGGGCGAAGGGCCTAGGGTTGCCAGATCAGGCAGAGGTTTGCATGCTTTCTCAGACTGCATGACTCCACCTTGCTCCATTACAGTGACTAAGGCACAACAACAGGTGCAAGATATAAAGACACATTCCTCAGGTCTTACATTAAAGTAACTTTACATTATGTATCATGCATGAAATTGCAAACCTTCATATGCATCCATGCAAAAGATTTGCAACTTACTCTTTGATGCTCCATTAATCTTCAATGGAGAAGTCTCTTGGTGACAACTTCCAGGACTTTCTGCGAGCTGCGCTTGTGCTTTACTAGAGTAGAAGCCCTTTGGTCTGCCGCACACCAACAGGTTCTTGTAGCAGAGCTTCCTCTTGGCTTTCTCTAGTGTGCTCAGGACATGCTGGTCAAAGAAATGAGTAACACTTCCAGAAGATGAATCTGTCAGTGAATCATTAGGTGAAGGTGGATGATCCAGCAATCCAGGATTTGACACCATCTTCTGTTGGACCTCCACAGCTTCTGTGCTTGCAGTCTTTAGGGTGGACTCTTGCATCTGAACATTAAAAGCACCACTTTTTTTCACAAGCCCCAGACCGTTTTTACCAATTTCTCTGCCACACACTGAAACTCTAGTCAAGCTGAAAGGTGTAGGAATTGGTTTCATGATGCATTTAAGAGGCGAGGTGATGCTCTTTGAAGGAGGTGCGGAAGAGTCATGCTTTGGCTCGCTTGAAAGCGGCAACACGAGGGGCGAATGCCACGTTTTAAGTGACTGCCTGTTGGGCCCATCTCCCGATGTTGTGCTTGGGAACGATACAGGGCGTTTTCCTGAAGGTGTTTTCAGGTCTTCTCTCACAATGACCCGGGGTTGACTGGCCTTCTTGGCTTCCACAGCTGAAGAAAAGCTCATGGTTATCAGACCAGAGCGGCCTACAGCAGAGGTCGGGAGGCGTTTGGGTTTCTCGGGAAGCGCAGGTCTGTACCTCACCTGGATCTCTTTCTGGAACTTTGCTCTTATGGATTTGAAATTGGTGCAGGCTTCCTATAACCAACATATAAAGAGAACAGATCTCATCAGTGCATTGACAAATATACATTTAAGCTCATAAGGGACAGCGTAGTATTGTTGAAAATCATGCATTTTAATATAAAATGAAGTACAACAGCATTACAACAAAACACAGCGTGCTTTTGCTCAACAACATCTATTTGGCAAAATAAGACATGTTTGGTGTTTTTGTTGTTTATCCCAAACAATTAGTTTACCTCTTCCATGTTCGTTTAAATTCTCCTTGGCCAAGCGCGTAGTGCATAAATATTACATAATATCTTCAAAACACTCGCACAGCGGAACACTGTTCTTACTGATTGATTAAACCAGGTACGAATTTGCTGAAGGCTCATTAATATTAATTACGTTGCGTGTGCGTCGACCGGTAGTCCTATCTGATTGGATAAAATAGAAACGTTAAAGAGTGGGCGCCAGCAGCGGACAAATAAAATAATCTACATGCTTATATAATATATATCACGAGGGTTATTTTATTTGCCCGCTACAGGCGCCCACTGTTGGTTTTAACATGCTTATGCTTTATGTTGTCCAATCAGGACTACCTGGCGACGCACACGCAACCTAATTAATATTCATGAGCCAAGCCTTCAACAGAGTAGGATTGTATTTAGCTTGAAAACAGTGACAGAACCACTTAGGACATTATAATCAGAAAAATATCTCAGGTTGTATTTATTATAAATTGTATAATATATAAATTTATCTGTGCATTGATTTTAACCCTATTTGGAATTACACATGGATCCGTGTTGTGCTTATGATTGCAGGAAATGTTTGTATTAATGTTATGGTATTTTATCCGGTTTTGTTTTTGTTTTGTTTGCTTTTTGGGGGCAATATGCAAAGTGAAATATGCACTTGCAATCTGGTGATAATTACTTTAATCATCTGTTTTGATTTAGTGCCTACTTGTTCATGACAAAGTTGATGAAGTTTCTTCATGTTCATGTATTTGCTTGGAGGTGGAGCGTTCTGGGCATAAGTGAGTTTTAAGAGTTTTCCCCCCAAAAACCCTGTCAATCATTAATAATGCTGACAAACAGTTTGTAGACTTGGACCTAAGTCTCAGATCAATCTAAAATCAACTATTTCAGCTATGTGCAAATTTGTGTTTTCTATTTGTACATTTGGAATTGTTTTATCATATGTTTCAGTCACCATATATCTGCCAGATTTCCTGATGAGTTACTACAATCATCAATCAACAGGTAATATAAACCTAATTTTAGGAGCTTTTCATATTGTGCCACGTTACCATATTTTGTCGCCCTAAAGACCTTGATTGGTTGCTTTGGGTGTGTTTCATTATGGCTGGGTTTAGTTTATTGGCTCTACAGAAGTATACAGAGTATAGATTTATTGAAACCCCACTGAAAATCTGTGCAATGACTTGAAGACTGCAGTCCACAAACGCTCACCATCAAATTGAACCGAACTTGAGCAGTTCTGCATAGAAGAGCGAGCAAATATGGACAAGTCTAGATGTGTAAAGTTAGTAGAGACATATCCCAACAGACTAAAGGCTGTAATTAGCTGCAAAGCAACAAAATGTGATTATTTTAAAGGGGGGTGATTATTTTCTATACCCACTGTAATAGTGGGTGCTTCAACCACAAGAGGGCCAAACGTTACATAGTGTATCTACAAAGAGATAAAACAGAAATGAGTTTGCATACAAAACCATCAAAAGTGTATACAGCAGAAGAAAATTACTGGACATTCAAAAATCTGTTCAAAATGATTTCTGTTCTCACAAAGTGAAATAATTGCATGACTCCTTTTTTCTCAGAAAATGAACTTTATTGAGCATGTGCTGAATAAGTGTCACCTCTCTATTCATGACTGGACATGAATACAGTTTGTTGCCATAATTAACCTGTGCAGCAGGAAAGGTGCCCTATGTTGGAGGAAAGAAAAATCCTTATGGTGAACACTCATAATGACGGCAGGTTATTCAGTATGTCCTCAAGCATATTTGTCAGTTATAAGATGCTAATAATACCTTATCTTTAATAAAAAACTAAAATAATGACATCAAGACTGTTGTAAACATAAGTACATCTAATCAACATGACATAAATGTGAAATAATTTGCTTTATTTCAGTTGATTTGCTGTTAGTCTTCTGGATTTCTCATTGATTTCTCTCTCTCTCTTTCTCTTTCTCTTTAGTTGACAAAATAAGGCAAACTAAAATGCATCATTACAGTGTCTGATTAGTACAGAATAAGAAATAATAAAATGGCACTTTGTCTTTCTTAAATTATAATCACTTGAGAAAATCACTACAATACAAAAAAAAAAAGTTACATTTTTGTAAACAAATGAACAAAGATATCCAGACAGTAACTGTCTTTGAACTGCTTTATCTACAACACTTCTTGATTGAGTGAAAGTTGTAGCCCTCGTTATGGACCACAGGATTCACAGAGGAGGCAAAATAACGGTATAGTTAAACAAACATCAACCCTGAAAAGATACATATTTATACAGTTTACAGTATTGCTTATGAACTGCACTGAGCTTGCAACACTGTGAAGCAAATATTATAACAAAAGCTCTAGAGCAGAGATTTAAAATTCAACAAATACATTTTGTCATTCAAAAACATTGACAGTATCATAATACACACATTATTTGAACATTATTTAAAAATGTTCCTTTTTAAATAATCATCATATGTCATTGTATAAAATCTAAAAAAAGAATGTCATCAAGTTGCTTTTCAAAAAAAAAAAAGTCATGCAGATGGTCATTGATAGTTTTCACAATATCAACATTCCATACAATTCCTTCCGAGAAAAGCAAAACATGATTTTAACCAATGTTTTTGGCTTCTCCAGATGTAGAATGCAACTACACAGCTTCACAGGTAATTTTGTGCATTAGAAATGACAAAGCTGGATGTCCGTCACAGTTAAACTTGGATTTAACTGATCCAATTTCTCATATTGTGACAGTTTATTATTATTTTACAAAAAATATTTCTGAAGTAGTTCAGATAGTTGGTGGCTATACTGGTAGACAGCCTATTTTCAAGTCCATCGCAAACTAAAGGTGCACTTCATTTATTAAAATAGATTTAACTTTCTATCAGTTATTAGTATTTGTCAAATGTCCCACAGAGCTCACACATAGTTAAGTCCCATCTGTATCACTGTGATTTCTGGATTTTCTCAGTGCTTTTCTGTATGTTTAGACACTCTTCCTAAGGATGAAATCATAAAAACAGCTTTAGTCAACAGTTCAGAAATACTGCATTTTATGGACATGAGAGACAAAAGTGTGACATCTGTCATTAGCCTTTTAAAATCTGCCAGTTTTTGCCTTTTCCCCCTTTTTGCCAGCTTCAGTAAATTATTGTGCAAAGAGAACTTGATTTTGTCAAAAGTTGTTAGTTTATTTATGCATAACTATATTAATATAATGTGCTCGTTTTATGACATCACAACCCAAAATGTTTCTGAACACCTCCTGAACTGTAGATCTATGAGACTGAACGATGACTGTCATCACGGCCCTACCTTGAATGACGCCATTTTTCTACCTATCGTTGCTACCTATGATTGACTTTAAGGGGTTGGCTTCCTACTGCATATACATCCAGATTAACCAACCACTTCCTCTTGCCTGGAACACCTCAGCTCTGGGTGACAAGTGATGGTTCTGGCTGGAGTATACATATGCAATAGTATGTATCCAGTGTGACACATGCTGTTTCAAAGCTGGTCAACTAGCATTTTTCTCATCAAAACATCTCAATGTAGGTGTATAGCGGTGGGGGATCAAGTAAATTACTTGATTGACCGTATAGTCAGGAAGGCCATATTTGGCCTTCACCTTAGAGAAAGATTGGTAACGGCCATCAACAGCCCTGTATCAGACGTAAGAGAAACAGGAACCCATGTGTGGCAGGAGGGGTGTGGCTGAGTAGAGTCTGTAAAAGGAGATGAGTGGGGAGAAAGTGGGCCAATTGTCTGATAACGAACAGCTGTTTCCACTCTTAGTAACAGGCAGAGAGAGATAATATAAGTTGATGGCCTGCCTAGGACAGGGAGCCCAATTCCCAACAGTGTTCCGACATCTCTCTTTGGATATCCAGCTGTGAAGAGTCTGGAAGGTTTATCTGAGCATCTGGTGGTATCTCATCAGTGCTAAGAATTTGAGCACAAGCCTCCTGTAAGACATAGGGAATGGGATTATTGGTGAAAACCGAAAACAGACTTTAGCAATAGGCAAATCACAGCCGTGCTGATAAACAGTTATGACACGCAACCATTACCAAAACTTCTGGCACATTGACTAAGCTGTCTTTTGCAGTCAGGAGCGATGATTCTATTGAGGAGACAGCTGCTGGGGACATGGTTTCCTGCTCCAGACCAGGAGTAGCACCTATGGAAAGAGAACGAAAAGAATGGGAATAATGCCTGTCACATGATAAACCTCAATCTACGTAGTGTGTTAAACTCACAAGAATCAGATGGGGATGGTGATATTGATGACCCTGAAGTCAATCTCAACTCTGAAAGATCAAGCTCACCACAGCAGTCCATTTCTTGTTTCCCAGAGGGCAGTTCGGCATCATGTTTGCTTGTGCAAATGTGAACAGCTATTGCTTCCTCCTGGGGGTCCTTGTTTAGGGCGTGCTTAGATCCACTTTGCTGTACTGTAGAATCTACAAAGTGCTGAGGACTTATAATGTTTGATGAAGTCTCAGGAGGTTCACAGGAGTGGGGGCGCATGGCAGCTATGGGGACCATACCCTGAAGCACTGCAGCTGGAATCGTATGCGCCCCCATGCCAACTGTCTGGGCTGGTACGAACGCCCATTGCTGCTGGCCCGTGGCTGGAGAGTGGAAGAGGTTAGCCTGACCCCAGATCACAGGCTGACCTCCAGGAAGCATCTGGGCAACCTGCAATGGTCCCTGAACCCCAAAAGCCATCGGAGCAGCCTGGGTAGCAAACGACTGTTGGGTCCAGTGAGCATGACCCATGGTCATATAACCTGAGAAAAAAGAACAGCCTTTGAGAGTGAGTTTTATTTATAACATTCATTTAAAAAAATTGCATACAAATCTGAACTTTGATGAAATATAAACTCTCAGGTAGTTGCTAGGTCTGCTTAATTTTTGTCTCTTTTGGAAGAAAACAAACACAACCCCAGGTACTTATTCAATACAGTAGCTAAATGAAAAAAATAAAATAAAGCATCAGCAGGCATAGACATTTCCCAACAGCACAGCAGTAATGACTTTATGAATTTCTTTACTTCCGAGATCGATACTATTAGAGATAAAATTATAACCATGCAGCTGTCAGCTAAAGTATTGCATCAGACAGTGTACTATAGATTCCCTGGGGGAACAGTTCCACTCATTCTCTGCTATAGGACAGGAAGAATTGCATAAACTTGTTAAATCTTCTAAACCAACAACATATATGTTAGACCCTATACCATCTAAGATACTAAAAGAGGTGCTTTCAGAAGTTACAGATCCTCTTCTGGATATCATTAATTCATGAATGTCAATAGGGTATGTCCCAAAAACCTTCAAACTGGCTGTTATTAAGCCTCTCGTAAAAAAAAACACAACTTGATCCTGGAGAATTAGTTAATTACAGACTGATCTCAAATCTCCCTTTTCTCCAAAGATACTAGAAAAGGCAGTATCCTCACAACTATGTTCTTTCTTATAGAAAAATGGTATCTGTGAGGATTTCCAGTCAAGATTTAGACTGTATCATAACCAGTGACTGATCTCGTCAGAGTTACAAATGGCCTGCTTTTATCATCCGATCGTGGTTGCATCTTTCTATTAGTGCTACTGGATCTTAGCGCTCATTCGCCACTATCGACCACAACATTCTTTTGAATAAACTAGAAAATTATGTTTGCATTGGCATGGTTCAAATCATACTTATCTGACCGTCACCAATTCATAGCAGTATTATATCGTTCACATGCAGTACGGAGTACCCCAAGGCTCAGTACTAGGACCGTTGCTTTTCACGCTTTACATGTTACCCTTGGGAGATATCATCAGGAAACATGGTGTTAGCTTTCACTGTTATGCTGATGATACAGTACTCAGCTCTATATTTCTTTGCGGCCTGACGAAACATACCAAATCACAAAACTAACAGAATGCATAGCTGATATAAAAAAAACTGGATGACTAGTAATTTCCTACTGCTAAATTCTGAGAAAAAAAGGTGTTAAAAAAACTGAGATGTTAATTATCAGACCAAAAATCTCTGAATGTAATAATCTGGAACACTGTCTAACACTTGATGGCTGTGCTGTCAATTCTTCGTCATCAGTTAGGAACCTAGGTGTGCTATTTGATAGCAATCTTTCCTTTGAAAGTCATGTTACTAGCATTTGTAAAAACGCATTTTTCCATCTTATAAATATTTCTAAATTACGACCGATGCTCTCAATGTCAAATGCAGAAGTGTTGATTCATGCATTCATAACCTCAAGGTTAGATTATTGTAATGCTTTATTTAGTAGTTGCTCTGCGTGCTTAATAAACAAACTCCAGTTGGTTCAAAATGCAGCAGCTAGAGTTCTTACTAGAACCAGGAAGTATGACCATATTAGCCCGGTTCTGTCAACACTGCACTGGTTCCCTATTAAACATGGCATTTAGTTAGTTTAAATCTAGATTAAAGACCCATCTCTTTAACCTGGCATACACATAACACACAATCACTTTTCTATAGTTAAAATCTGTTAAAGGATTGTTAGGCTGCATTAATTAGGTCAACAGGAATGGGGAACACTTCCCCTAACACCTAATGTACTTGTTACATCTTAAGAAGAATGGCATCTACACTAATATTAGTCTGTCTCATTCTTATTCCGAGGTCACCATAGCCACCCAGATCCAGTCTGTACCCAGATCAGATGGTCACTGCAGTCACCCAGATCCAGTCTGTATCCAGATCAGATGGTCACTGCAGTCACCCAGATCCAGTCCGTATCCAGTCCAGATGGTGGATCAGCACCTAGAGATGACCTCTACAGCCCCGAATGTCAGCGGAGACCATGTCAACTAGATGAACCCTAGAGGCAGATCCCCTGTGAAGACCTCATCGGCCACCTCATATGGTGCACAAGACCACGGGAACCAGACGAGTCCTCTGCTCAATCTGACTTGCGTTGCAGCCTGGAATTAAACCACACCATGCTGGTTTTGTCTGGCCAGAGGAGAACTGGCCGCCTGACTGAGCCTAGTTTCTCCCAAGGTTTTTTTCTCCATTTCTGTCACCGATGGAGTTTTGGTTCCTTGCCACTGTTGCCTTTGGCTTGCTTAGTTGGGGACATCATTTCTGGCAACATTGTTGACTTGACTGCACAGACACTATTGGAAGATATCTGAACTGACTTTAACTGATAAACTGACTGTTTTCTATTGTCCTTTTGCACACATTTTTCCTGTTTAACACTGTAAAGCTGATTTGACACAATCTGTATTGTATAAAGTGCTCTATAAATAAAGGTGACTTGACTTGATTTGACTTGACTTGTTACCTGAGGGCACAGCCGGTGGGCTAAAATGGGTGAAGAGTTCTGGGCGGTGCTGACGTCGCCTTCTTCCAGGATCCAGTGCGGTAGCAGGCGACGCTGGCATCTGTGATGACATTGATGTAATTTTGGATGTATGAGTATACAAATAATTTATATTATGGTATCATAATAAAATTTATAGATGCACCGTTTGACCAGACATAAATTGGCACCAAACACACGCAATTGGTTTTACATTTTATTTTATTTATTTATTTATTTTTTATGTGCGGGTCTGTCTTATGTAATTTCACAACGTTAAAGTCAGACTATTCTGTTTTTGCTTTAATTCTTGAAATAATACCATCTAATTTAAATCAAATTAACAATTAAAATGGGTATAGCATCTTTGTTTGGATTGTGATTAAAATGCAGCGGTTGCTTCTAATTTCAAATGGCTATAGATCATTTTAGTTTAAGGCCAGTTCGGCCTGTAAGAGCAAACAAACAACAAATAATTTTTTTTATATATAAATAAATAAAATAAAAATCGGCAGCCAATATCGGAATCGGTTTGCATTAAAAGTGAGACTAACCACATGGGTGATTGTTCATTTTGAGGTTTACTTACAGAATGGATGTCTGGGGGGGTGGCCATGTCACCGAAAATATCAAACTGGTTTATATTCTGCAAGACAGCCAGGGAGGAAGTTAAAGAAGATACAGTATACTGTAATGCTGTACTGGAAAGCATTCCTCAACACAGAGTATCTGAACAAGATCACTAATTACTTTTTTCAGTGGAATAGTTATTGATCTATCAGATTAGGACATAATGACATATCAATGACACTAACAAGTGAAGGGAATCAAGCAACAAACATTAATAAAACAAAACAAAAGGTGCAAGCAACGAGGTGGATGAAAACTAAAATATATGACCTTTTAACCAGAAACCAATGTGTATGCAAAACAAAAAAACAAAGCCAACACAACAGTCATGTTCTATAGAAAAGCTAGCAAATCACACCAGAAGACTCAGGTGTGCATAGAATCAAGCAAAATCAATGTTTGGCACGTGTGAGCAAACATTGCAGCAGAGAGACTGATATTTATGTGAGTAAAGCTCCAAGCACTCGATAGGCTCCGACTGAATGAACAGACAAGCAATAACACTCTGTGAAATGGACTGATAACAATCATTTAAGATGGATTCATTCTGGTGAAAGCAATGCTTTGTTTTGACTTCTGTAGATCTGTCTGGGGTTTTGCAATGCATGCCGATCTTTAATGTTTAGTAAGGTTGTTATAAATAATAGGCTCTGGAAATTTTAGGTAGACATCACTCTTTCTCAAAAATTCATAACATATCATAACAGTGTCTTTTAAAGCCAATCCTTATTTCTTTTGGTTAAAAAAAAACTATTAGAAATCCTCATCATTGATGCATTGCAATTGTCACATTAACATTTTCTAAACCCATGCAGTACATCCATACTAGAGGTGAAGCCTCAAAACAAACCTCTGTGTGATTTCCCCTCATCCGTTCCCCTTATATAATATCGCTGCCTTAAATAATACTGAACGATTTGTAACATGAACAACAACAATGAAATATTTTCAGTACACTGATCGATTTGCTATAGGATTAAAAAACGTTACATTTTCTAATTCAAGAAGGGGGGAGAACATTGAGAGGTTTGTTTGAAGGAGAAAAGAGACGGGAAGGTTGAGCGAATGTTTGAGACGTGAGAGAACCTACACTCATAAGATGGTGTTTTGGAACGTCATAGATCCCGTCTTTCTGATGACTTGTGGGGACCTAAAAATTATAGCAAGTTAACAACATAAGACTCCTGCTATGCTTCAGTAATATTTCATTATATGTGCACTGCATATTGTAGGTATTTAAATCGAGTACTGTATTTTTAAGCTCACAGATTACTGTACATTTTACATTTTAAATCTGGGGAGATAATATTATAGGAAAACTATTTTTAGATTCCGCTTTCTGTGTGGGCGAAGAGGGGCGTGGCTCGAGGAAGTACCTGGTAAATGCTCTCCTCTGATTGGTGGCCACGGAGCGGCTCGTGTCCGGCTTCAAACACAATGTACTACAAGGAGTTAGGAAAGAAAATGAGAAAGGCCCCGTATGGAACCAATCAGACAGCGGCAACACTAAGAACATTCAGTGCTGAATATTGTGTATCTTTATCCAGAACAGTGAGAACTCTAGATTGACCCTTTTTGTTTCCACAAGACAGAAAATCAGCAATGGTATCTCATTCATTTCTCGGTTGTTAGTTGATTAAGTGGCAAGCACATTTTTACTCTTAGGTCTGGTGCTTCTCACAAAAAAAAGATCTCAGTTATCTCACAAAAGTATTTCCAATTTCAGAAGAGATGCCAAAGTCTGCAACTCAAAAGTCTCAATATAAATCAATATTTCCTCAAATCAAATGATCAGAGATATGATTTTCAAAACATCTCTACACTCTTAATGTATTACTAATATCCCATTTATGTACAGTTTTATTTCTACAGATTTTGGGAGAAATCTATCTGCATATATACTGCCGTTCAAAGGTTTGGGGTCAGTAAGATTTTTTTTTTATTTGATAAAAAATACAGTAAAATCAGAAACATTGAGAAATATTATTACAATTTAAAATAACGTTTTCTACTTTAATACTTCTAAATAATAAAAAGTAAAAAAAAAAAAACATGATTTATTCAAAATTTAAATCTTTTTTGACAATATGCACTAGCGTTTAAAAGTTTGGGGTCTACTTTTTTTATAATTATTTTTTTAAAGAAATTAATACTTTTATTCAGCAAGAATATGTTAAATTTATTTTTTTTAAAGTAATAGCAAGACTTATATTCTGATTTCTATTTTTAGTCAACACTGTTCTTTTCAACCTTTTATTTATCAAAGAATCCTTAAAAAAAACTATCACAGGTTCCAAAAACTTAAGCAGCACAACTGTTTTCAACATTGATAATAAATCAGCATATCAGAATGATTTCTGAAGATCATGTGACGCTGAAGACTGCAGTAATGATGCTGAAAATACAGCATTTAAAAAAAATTAAAACAGTTATTTTAAATTGTAATAATATTTCACAATACTACTGTTTTTACTGTATTTTTATCAAATAAATGCAGCCTTGATAAGCACTAGACCCTTTATAAAAAACATTAAAAATCGTACAGATCCCAAACTTTTGAACAGTAGTGTATATATGAGTAGTTGACACACAACTGCGGACTTCATTAATGCTGCCCACACACAATTTAAGCCCTGATCACTAACAGTTAATGGAGACAAAAGCCTGAAACTGAAGGCAAATCATGGCCCGTTCACACGAGTAACTAAGTGTGAATTTTTACAGATGCGATCAGTGAGAAGTGCCAATGCATCGCTTATGCACGAAATATCTAGACCTGTCTGAGATCCAAGTCCTGCGGTGTAAAACGTGTTTTGGCTGGAATTGACCTTGCAATGACAGACTGTTGTCTAAGTGTGAAATGAACAGCAATCCCACTTTGAAAGTCATATGGTGCATGGTTAGCGTTCATCTCCTGAGCTATGATTGAGCAAACACTGAGCAACAAAATTTCATCTGCTAATGTAATATACATTTTATTTCATTGCTATATCAACAGGTAAAAACACTGGACTTTTTTTGTTTCCCATGACAAACTAGTGCTTCAAAGCTTAACTAAACCAAGGTTTTTTGAGAGCCTCTATCTTAGGGATTCTGGTTGGAGATAAATCTATTTGTGTGAAACTGATGGTTAAAGTTGTCTGTATTCAGTGTGAGCGAGAGAGCACTGGGTTCAGCATATCAGAGTACATCCGGTACAGTAGGGCTGTTTATGACTCTCCACAGAACATATAGACAGAACCACAAAACATGACTCCAGATCAACACACTGGCAATGACTGAATGCTTAACAGAATATCTTGCAAAAAATATCCTCAACACTTAAATGGAGGAGTTAAATCAAATAAAGAATGTCGGTTCTTCATCAAATCAGGTTAAGCTTGTGTTAAATGAGATTGGCAAACTCTCACCTGATACACCGGATCATCAGTTTCATCTTCCAGAATCGTCTGTGTCAGCCATTAAGAAAAATGTTAAAGACAAAATGAGAGAAAACCAAAAGAAACATGAATCCGAGAATTATATTTGCAGTGCGTCAACAAACCTATGAAACTAAAAGCTGAGCAGCAGATGGCAGAGCACTGAATAATATTACTACATAAGGACAATTCCATAAGCTAACATATTCAAAAATTTGATTTGATATCCATAATATAAACCCATTTTAGACCACCAATTATAAATGTGTTTGATACATAATTTGACCATGAATACAGACAGCCATGTTACCATGATACCAATACACACTCATTACGACCTGTTTAACAGATATTTATTGTAAATTATTTATAATTTATGGTAAGTTAGAACAGCCAGAACTGCAACCGGTGACAAACAGTGAAATAATCAACTAACTACGACCAAATAAACTAGCCCTCAAATGTGAACAAATAACAAATATTTCATCATACCTTTGGCATATTCCATAGAGATGCATTCTTTGGCACGGGACGTCCAGTGTAAGTTCAGTGTGACTTTGTAAAACAGACTGTCTTTAACTAAAATGATGTTATAATAATCTAATATTAATGCTAGAAAGCCAGCGCACTTGGCAATTGTGCTTTTTTTAACTCTTTCCCCAGCAGTGAGATTTATATGCTCCTGATTTATATTTATATACAGTGGTAGAGCATTGTGTTAGCAGCGCAAAAGGTCATGTGTTCGAGTCCCAGGGAACACACATACTGGTAAAAAATGTATAGCCCGAATGCACTGTGAGTAAAGTGTCTGCTAAATGCATAAATTAAATTAATTATGCTTTGTCTGGCATGATAGATATGGACAGTAGAAATGCACACAGAATTTTACCCTAAAGAGTCATTGGCCAGTTATTTTCTGGAGAAACTCAGGCTGGATCTCACCTGATAGATGGCTTGTTCACAGTGCTTGTCCTTCTGAGCCTTTTCCTGTGACTCCTCCCTCTGTTTGATGTCATAGACGAGGGTGAAAAGGTCACGCAGGTCCAGTATAACTGGCTCCGCCTACGAGAGGATAACTGGGGTTATAGCTTTTAACTGGCATGAGAACAGTTTGAATTTAGGAATATTAAGAGCTATGAACACTAACCGAATGGCTGGTCTTGATTGCCACAAATTTGTGGTTGCCTTTTTTCCCGCACACGTAGCCGAAGGCGCGATGGTCCCTTGTGTCTTTGGCAATGTAGGAGATTTCATGCACAGAGTGCTGGTGCTGTAAGACCTGAGGATCACATCATTATGTGTCAAAATCAGTGACCACATTTTTTTTTTTACAAATAAATACATTTTCATATTATACAATTTTTCAAGCAAAATGTGCAAATAGCCATCGTTGTTGGCAAAGTCTGTTTTCACAAACGCCACCAACTATTGTTAAGACTATTTGTCTTCTATGTACGCTTTGTGTAACTCGCATAAACAGTGCATTCGGAAAGTATTCTGAACCCTTTTTTTTCCACATTTTGTTATGTTGCAACCTAAAATGTGTAGTGCATCATGAAGAGGAGTATCAGATGACAATGGCCACAGGCTGTTGAATGGCAAAACTGCAACAATTAGCATTATCGGTTACCAAATGAGAATAAATTCAACGAAAGGTGATGCAACACAGTGTTAAACACGCCTTCCTTCCCAGCTGTTTTTGAGTGTGTTGCGGGCATAGCACTTTTTTTTAAAAATTGCATTAACAAAATGAAATTCAGTAGGTCAGTGTAAACAGTGGAAATCTTTTCTTTGTAATTTTGTCAGTTAACTAAAGGTTGAAGCGATTTAACAGATTCTTGCTTTTATTGCATTTTCCAAAATGTCCCAACCTTCCTATATAGATTTGCTAGATTACATTTTTTACATTTTTTTTAGTAGTTAAATTAAAGGTTTTCAAGTTTTCAATAAAAACGCTATTTTTACTTGATGCATGTTCTTATGACGTTGAGAGAAAACAATAGAATACAAAAAAATTGTATAAACGTTACACTCTGAGTGAAAATAAGGTTAGTAGAATGTTGTAAGAAAAGTTTTAGTAACCTTTAAATAACACTTGCAATAAGAAAACTGGACATTTTAACGTTCTAAGAATATTACAAATCAGTGTTCAAGTAATATTTTATTATATTATGTATATATATTATATTCAAATAATATTATATTTTAGGTGAAAACAGATGTTTTTGAACATTTTTGCATTTTAGTAACATTTAAACATTTTAGAATCAGAGTAGTGTTTAACTGACACAACAACGAGGATCACATATACAGGATTTAGACTAATACAACTAGGAAACACTCCCAGAATACTCTTACCCCTGATCGCTCATCATAAATCTTGATTCCACCGAAAGACACAGTCAAGAAAATTCTCTGCTTGTGGTTCCCCTTTGAGCGGGCCGAAGCAGCAATGCCCTGCAGGGGAAAAAAAGAGGATGAGAGGAATTAAAAGCAAGCATGAATGGAAGCGTCTGCAGTAAAGGTACAGTCTCGCTTTATTAGCAATATGCTGGCGTAGTTTGCATAGAGGACGTTTGCTCAACTATTCTGATATGCATCATTTGTAAGGTCACTTTTGTTACTCATTCAGCACTTCTAAACGTGAAAGATGTGTCTAGTTTGCTAATTTTCTCAGACTTCTGAAGGCAAAAAAGAAAGGGATCATGCTGAGTCAAGTCTTTCTCATTTGATTAGCCTTTTGTTCTATAATGAAATTCTAAACACGTTCCATGGTCACTTGAAGCAGGTTTGAAAACTTGACATCTTTCTCAAAGCAATGCTGAATAATATATACACACAATGCATTCAAAAATTGTTCAGCCCCCTTTATTTCTTTATTTATTTTTTGTTATGCTGTTATGATTTTCTCAATATTTAGATTTTTGACCAAATATTGTCCGATCCTAACAAACCATACATCAATGGAAATCTTATTAATTCAGCTTTCAGATGATGTATAAATCTCATTTTTTTAAAAATGGACACTTATGACTGGTTTTGTGCTCCAGGGTCACATATTAGAAATCCATGGCTTTGTAGTAAGTTTACTGGAAACCATCCCTCTTCAGGCTAAACAAGATCAAACCACACTAAATAATTAAAAATAAAAATCAATCTAGAAATCTGAATCTACATTTACATTAACCATGAACCATGAATATTTCGTCCCATATGTTATCACAATAACTGAGATAATTCAAGATCCTGTTTCGATTCCACATCAAAACTTCTTTTCTATAACTAATGGACTTTTACTTAACTGCTTCATTATGCACTTCAAATGCAACAGAGGGGAAAAAAAGAGAGCAGACCTCTTCATCCATGAGGTGTCTTTCCTTAGTTTGCATTTATATTTATTCATTCACCATATGTTTTTTATTCTATCCAAAGCGACTTGCAGAACATCACTATCTTTGTATTTAATTTGTACCAAACAAAGCACCGTCCCGCTGTCTTTCATCTAAAGCAACCGCACCTCCTGCTCTTTGAGGACTCTTGTCTTTACCTTCAGCTTCATCATGGAGTCCTGACACAGCTTGTCTCCTCGTGTGGCCGTCACTTCATCAATCCCAATCAGCTTGGCCTTGTAACTGACGCCGTCGCCCCTGAAGCGCTGAATCAGGGCCTGCTCGCTGCGATCCCGACCTGAGCAAACACCACAGAGAGATGCAGCGAGACTGCAATGAAAAATCATGTAGTCATAAACCCTTAGAGCATGTTATGCTGGAATATTTGCAGATATGCACAAGCTCAGTGTTTGGTAAGAGTTCCAAAATACAGCACAGCAATTCCGTAGTTCATGAATATAAATTACATATAAAATTATCAAAGCAATTAGAGATTATTTGGATTACTTTTAAGTATGTGTGTGTTTTCCATAACTTTGTCCTCTAAACTGCCATTAGTGGTACTTGCTATGGTTTATGGTACCCTTGGGTGTATAACTCATTAATGGAGCCTCGTATCGTATCATAAGCCTGTTTCGGCCACAAAATAAAAAAGGTAATTGTGATTTTGTATCCCATAATTCTGACTTTGCTTCTCACATTTCAGAATTTTGTTTCTCAAAAATGTGAGAAAAAAGTCTCAGTTGTTTGAGAAGTCTGATATAACCTCACTTTCTTTCTCGCTGTTTATGACTCACAATTCTTACTTACTTTTTTGTCCTCAGAATTCTGTGTTTACATTTTGCAATTCAGTTTTTTTTGCTTCCACCACAAAATAAAAATACAACTAAAAAGTACAAGTTGTTACAGTGTAATTGTATGTATTTCTATTTTATTCTCTAAATTTGTGCAGCACTGAAACTAAGACCCATCAATTAAACGTGAGCTAGAACAAACAGGTGAATGTCATGAAGAAATGCCCAGGTCATATCTCAGAAAATTATGCCTATTTTAGACACATTAAGATCATTATCTTGTTTTTTAAGAAAACTTTTTACTGACATTATTTTCAAGAAAAATAGCATGAGATTCATTATAAAGCTTTAACTGTGTTCTGGTTTGAAGAATGAAACTGCTTTGCTGAAAGCCATTCTTCTCTCAAAAAAACTGGATGACTAGTAATTTCCTACTGCTAAATTCTGAGAAAAAAAGGTGTTAAAAAAACTGAGGTGTTAATTATCAGACCAAAAATCTCTGAATGTAATAATCTAGAACACTGTCTAACACTTGATGGCTGTGCTGTCAATTCTTCGTCATCAGTTAGGAACCTAGGTGTGCTATTTGTTAGCAATCTTTCCTTTGAAAGTCATGTTACTAGCATTTGTAAAACCGCATTTTTCCATCTTATAAATATTTCTAAATTATGACCGATGCTCTCAATGTCAAATGCAGAAGTGTTAATTCATGCATTCATAACCTCAAGGTTAGATTATTGTAATGCTTTATTTAGTAGTTGCTCTGCGTGCTTAATAAACAAACTCCAGTTGGTTTAAAATGCAGCAGCTAGAGTTCTTACTAGAACCAGGAAGTATGACCATATTAGCCCGGTTCTGTCAACACTGCACTGGTTCCCTATTAAACATGGCATACGTTTTAAAATCTTGCTAATTACTTATAAAGCCCTGAATGGTTTAGCTCCTCAGTACTTGAGTGAGCTCTTATCGCATTACAGTCCTTCACGTCCGCTGCGATCTCAGAACTCTGGCCATTTGATAATACCTAGAATATTAAAATCAACTGCGTGCAGCAGATCCTTTTCCTATTTAGCGCCCACACTCTGGAACAATCTACCTAGTATTGTTCGGGAGGCAGACACACTCTGTTAGTTTAAATCTAGATTAAAGACCCATCTCTTTAACCTGGCATACACATAACACACAATCACTTTTCTATAGTTAAAATCTGTTAACGGATTGTTAGGCTGCATTAATTAGGTCAACAGGAACGGGGAACACTTCCCCTAACACCTAATGTACTTGTTACATCTTAAGAAGAATGGCATCTACACTAATATTAGTCTGTCTCATTCTTATTCCAAGGTCACCATAGCCACCCAGATCCAGTCTGTATTCAGATCAGATGGTCACTGCAGTCACCCAGATCCAGTCCGTATCCAGTCCAGATGGTGGATCAGCACCTAGAGATGACCTCTACAGCCCCGAATGTCAGCGGAGACCATGTCAACTAGATGAACCCTAGAGGCAGATCCCCTGTGAAGACCTCATCGGCCACCTCATATGGTGCACAAGACCACGGGAACCAGACGAGTCCTCTGCTCAATCTGACTTGCGTTGCAGCCTGGAATTAAACCACACCATGCTGGTTTTGTCTGGCCAGAGGAGAACTGGCCGCCTGACTGAGCCTAGTTTCTCCCAAGGTTTTTTTCTCCATTTCTGTCACCGATGGAGTTTTGGTTCCTTGCCACTGTTGCCTTTGGCTTGCTTAGTTGGGGACATCATTTCTGGCAACATTGTTGACTTGACTGCACAGACACTATTGGAAGATATCTTAACTGACTTTAACTGATAAACTGACTGTTTTCTATTGTCCTTTTGCACACATTTTTCCTGTTTAACACTGTAAAGCTGATTTGACACAATCTGTATTGTATAAAGTGCTCTATAAATAAAGGTGACTTGACTTGATTTGACGTGACTTGTTACCTGAGGGCACAGCCGGTGGGCTAAAATGGGTGAAGAGTTCTGGGCGGTGCTGACGTCGCCTTCTTCCAGGATCCAGTGCGGTAGCAGGCGACGCTGGCATCTGTGATGACATTGATGTAATTTTGGATGTATGAGTATACAAATAATTTATATTATGGTATCATAATAAAATTTATAGATGCACCGTTTGACCAGACATAAATTGGCACCAAACACACGCAATTGGTTTTACATTTTATTTTATTTATTTATTTATTTTTTATGTGCGGGTCTGTCTTATGTAATTTCACAACGTTAAAGTCAGACTATTCTGTTTTTGCTTTAATTCTTGAAATAATACCATCTAATTTAAATCAAATTAACAATTAAAATGGGTATAGCATCTTTGTTTGGATTGTGATTAAAATGCAGCGGTTGCTTCTAATTTCAAATGGCTATAGATCATTTTAGTTTAAGGCCAGTTCGGCCTGTAAGAGCAAACAAACAACAAATAATTTTTTTTATATATAAATAAATAAAATAAAAATCGGCAGCCAATATCGGAATCGGTTTGCATTAAAAGTGAGACTAACCACATGGGTGATTGTTCATTTTGAGGTTTACTTACAGAATGGATGTCTGGGGGGGTGGCCATGTCACCGAAAATATCAAACTGGTTTATATTCTGCAAGACAGCCAGGGAGGAAGTTAAAGAAGATACAGTATACTGTAATGCTGTACTGGAAAGCATTCCTCAACACAGAGTATCTGAACAAGATCACTAATTACTTTTTTCAGTGGAATAGTTATTGATCTATCAGATTAGGACATAATGACATATCAATGACACTAACAAGTGAAGGGAATCCAGCAACAAACATTAATAAAACAAAACAAAAGGTGCAAGCAACGAGGTGGATGAAAACTAAAATATATGACCTTTTAACCAGAAACCAATGTGTATGCAAAACAAAAAACAAAGCCAACACAACAGTCATGTTCTATAGAAAAGCTAGCAAATCACACCAGAAGACTCAGGTGTGCATAGAATCAAGCAAAATCAATGTTTGGCACGTGTGAGCAAACATTGCAGCAGAGAGACTGATATTTATGTGAGTAAAGCTCCAAGCACTCGATAGGCTCCGACTGAATGAACAGACAAGCAATAACACTCTGTGAAATGGACTGATAACAATCATTTAAGATGGATTCATTCTGGTGAAAGCAATGCTTTGTTTTGACTTCTGTAGATCTGTCTGGGGTTTTGCAATGCATGCCGATCTTTAATGTTTAGTAAGGTTGTTATAAATAATAGGCTCTGGAAATTTTAGGTAGACATCACTCTTTCTCAAAAATTCATAACATATCATAACAGTGTCTTTTAAAGCCAATCCTTATTTCTTTTGGTTAAAAAAAAACTATTAGAAATCCTCATCATTGATGCATTGCAATTGTCACATTAACATTTTCTAAACCCATGCAGTACATCCATACTAGAGGTGAAGCCTCAAAACAAACCTCTGTGTGATTTCCCCTCATCCGTTCCCCTTATATAATATCGCTGCCTTAAATAATACTGAACGATTTGTAACATGAACAACAACAATGAAATATTTTCAGTACACTGATCGATTTGCTATAGGATTAAAAAACGTTACATTTTCTAATTCAAGAAGGGGGGAGAACATTGAGAGGTTTGTTTGAAGGAGAAAAGAGACGGGAAGGTTGAGCGAATGTTTGAGACGTGAGAGAACCTACACTCATAAGATGGTGTTTTGGAACGTCATAGATCCCGTCTTTCTGATGACTTGTGGGGACCTAAAAATTATAGCAAGTTAACAACATAAGACTCCTGCTATGCTTCAGTAATATTTCATTATATGTGCACTGCATATTGTAGGTATTTAAATCGAGTACTGTATTTTTAAGCTCACAGATTACTGTACATTTTACATTTTAAATCTGGGGAGATAATATTGTAGGAAAACTATTTTTAGATTCCGCTTTCTGTGTGGGCGAAGAGGGGCGTGGCTCGAGGAAGTACCTGGTAAATGCTCTCCTCTGATTGGTGGCCACGGAGCGGCTCGTGTCCGGCTTCAAACACAATGTACTACAAGGAGTTAGGAAAGAAAATGAGAAAGGCCCCGTATGGAACCAATCAGACAGCGGCAACACTAAGAACATTCAGTGCTGAATATTGTGTATCTTTATCCAGAACAGTGAGAACTCTAGATTGACCCTTTTTGTTTCCACAAGACAGAAAATCAGCAATGGTATCTCATTCATTTCTCGGTTGTTAGTTGATTAAGTGGCAAGCACATTTTTACTCTTAGGTCTGGTGCTTCTCACAAAAAAAAGATCTCAGTTATCTCACAAAAGTATTTCCAATTTCAGAAGAGATGCCAAAGTCTGCAACTCAAAAGTCTCAATATAAATCAATATTTCCTCAAATCAAATGATCAGAGATATGATTTTCAAAACATCTCTACACTCTTAATGTATTACTAATATCCCATTTATGTACAGTTTTATTTCTACAGATTTTGGGAGAAATCTATCTGCATATATACTGCCGTTCAAAGGTTTGGGGTCAGTAAGATTTTTTTTTTATTTGATAAAAAATACAGTAAAATCAGTAACATTGAGAAATATTATTACAATTTAAAATAACGTTTTCTACTTTAATACTTCTAAATAATAAAAAGTAAAAAAAAAAAAACATGATTTATTCAAAATTTAAATCTTTTTTGACAATATGCACTAGCGTTTAAAAGTTTGGGGTCTACTTTTTTTATAATTATTTTTTTAAAGAAATTAATACTTTTATTCAGCAAGAATATGTTAAATTTATTTTTTTTAAAGTAATAGCAAGACTTATATTCTGATTTCTATTTTTAGTCAACACTGTTCTTTTCAACCTTTTATTTATCAAAGAATCCTTAAAAAAAACTATCACAGGTTCCAAAAACTTAAGCAGCACAACTGTTTTCAACATTGATAATAAATCAGCATATCAGAATGATTTCTGAAGATCATGTGACGCTGAAGACTGCAGTAATGATGCTGAAAATACAGCATTTAAAAAAAATTAAAACAGTTATTTTAAATTGTAATAATATTTCACAATACTACTGTTTTTACTGTATTTTTATCAAATAAATGCAGCCTTGATAAGCACTAGACCCTTTATAAAAAACATTAAAAATCGTACAGATCCCAAACTTTTGAACAGTAGTGTATATATGAGTAGTTGACACACAACTGCGGACTTCATTAATGCTGCCCACACACAATTTAAGCCCTGATCACTAACAGTTAATGGAGACAAAAGCCTGAAACTGAAGGCAAATCATGGCCCGTTCACACGAGTAACTAAGTGTGAATTTTTACAGATGCGATCAGTGAGAAGTGCCAATGCATCGCTTATGCACGAAATATCTAGACCTGTCTGAGATCCAAGTCCTGCGGTGTAAAACGTGTTTTGGCTGGAATTGACCTTGCAATGACAGACTGTTGTCTAAGTGTGAAATGAACAGCAATCCCACTTTGAAAGTCATATGGTGCATGGTTAGCGTTCATCTCCTGAGCTATGATTGAGCAAACACTGAGCAACAAAATTTCATCTGCTAATGTAATATACATTTTATTTCATTGCTATATCAACAGGTAAAAACACTGGACTTTTTTTGTTTCCCATGACAAACTAGTGCTTCAAAGCTTAACTAAACCAAGGTTTTTTGAGAGCCTCTATCTTAGGGATTCTGGTTGGAGATAAATCTATTTGTGTGAAACTGATGGTTAAAGTTGTCTGTATTCAGTGTGAGCGAGAGAGCACTGGGTTCAGCATATCAGAGTACATCCGGTACAGTAGGGCTGTTTATGACTCTCCACAGAACATATAGACAGAACCACAAAACATGACTCCAGATCAACACACTGGCAATGACTGAATGCTTAACAGAATATCTTGCAAAAAATATCCTCAACACTTAAATGGAGGAGTTAAATCAAATAAAGAATGTCGGTTCTTCATCAAATCAGGTTAAGCTTGTGTTAAATGAGATTGGCAAACTCTCACCTGATACACCGGATCATCAGTTTCATCTTCCAGAATCGTCTGTGTCAGCCATTAAGAAAAATGTTAAAGACAAAATGAGAGAAAACCAAAAGAAACATGAATCCGAGAATTATATTTGCAGTGCGTCAACAAACCTATGAAACTAAAAGCTGAGCAGCAGATGGCAGAGCACTGAATAATATTACTACATAAGGACAATTCCATAGGCTAACATATTCAAAATTTTTATTTGATATCCATAATATAAACCCATTTTAGACCTGTTTAACTAAATGTGTTTGATACATAATTTGACCATGAATACAGACAGCCATGTTACCATGATACCAATACACACTCATTACGACCTGTTTAACAGATATTTATTGTAAATTATTTATAATTTATGGTAAGTTAGAACAGCCAGAACTGCAACCGGTGACAAACAGTGAAATAATCAACTAACTACGACCAAATAAACTAGCCCTCAAATGTGAACAAATAACAAATATTTCATCATACCTTTGGCATATTCCATAGAGATGCATTCTTTGGCACGGGACGTCCAGTGTAAGTTCAGTGTGACTTTGTAAAACAGACTGTCTTTAACTAAAATGATGTTATAATAATCTAATATTAATGCTAGAAAGCCAGCGCACTTGGCAATTGTGCTTTTTTTAACTCTTTCCCCAGCAGTGAGATTTATATGCTCCTGATTTATATTTATATACAGTGGTAGAGCATTGTGTTAGCAGCGCAAAAGGTCATGTGTTCGAGTCCCAGGGAACACACATACTGGTAAAAAATGTATAGCCCGAATGCACTGTGAGTAAAGTGTCTGCTAAATGCATAAATTAAATTAATTATGCTTTGTCTGGCATGATAGATATGGACAGTAGAAATGCACACAGAATTTTACCCTAAAGAGTCATTGGCCAGTTATTTTCTGGAGAAACTCAGGCTGGATCTCACCTGATAGATGGCTTGTTCACAGTGCTTGTCCTTCTGAGCCTTTTCCTGTGACTCCTCCCTCTGTTTGATGTCATAGACGAGGGTGAAAAGGTCACGCAGGTCCAGTATAACTGGCTCCGCCTACGAGAGGATAACTGGGGTTATAGCTTTTAACTGGCATGAGAACAGTTTGAATTTAGGAATATTAAGAGCTATGAACACTAACCGAATGGCTGGTCTTGATTGCCACAAATTTGTGGTTGCCTTTTTTCCCGCACACGTAGCCGAAGGCGCGATGGTCCCTTGTGTCTTTGGCAATGTAGGAGATTTCATGCACAGAGTGCTGGTGCTGTAAGACCTGAGGATCACATCATTATGTGTCAAAATCAGTGACCACATTTTTTTTTTTACAAATAAATACATTTTCATATTATACAATTTTTCAAGCAAAATGTGCAAATAGCCATCGTTGTTGGCAAAGTCTGTTTTCACAAACGCCACCAACTATTGTTAAGACTATTTGTCTTCTATGTACGCTTTGTGTAACTCGCATAAACAGTGCATTCGGAAAGTATTCTGAACCCTTTTTTTTCCACATTTTGTTATGTTGCAACCTAAAATGTGTAGTGCATCATGAAGAGGAGTATCAGATGACAATGGCCACAGGCTGTTGAATGGCAAAACTGCAACAATTAGCATTATCGGTTACCAAATGAGAAAAATTATAACGAAAGGTGATGCAACACCGTGTTAAACACGCCTTCCTTCCCAGCTGTTTTTGAGTGTGTTGCGGGCATAGCACTTTTTTTTTAAAATTGCATTAACAAAATGAAATTCAGTAGGTCAGTGTAAACAGTGGAAATCTTTTCTTTGTAATTTTGTCAGTTAACTAAAGGTTGAAGCGATTTAACAGATTCTTGCTTTTATTGCATTTTCCAAAATGTCCCAACCTTCCTATATAGATTTGCTAGATTACATTTTTTACATTTTTTTTAGTAGTTAAATTAAAGGTTTTCAAGTTTTCAATAAAAACGCTATTTTTACTTGATGCATGTTCTTATGACGTTGAGAGAAAACAATAGAATACAAAAAAATTGTATAAACGTTACACTCTGAGTGAAAATAAGGTTAGTAGAATGTTGTAAGAAAAGTTTTAGTAACCTTTAAATAACACTTGCAATAAGAAAACTGGACATTTTAACGTTCTAAGAATATTACAAATCAGTGTTCAAGTAATATTTTATTATATTATGTATATATATTATATTCAAATAATATTATATTTTAGGTGAAAACAGATGTTTTTGAACATTTTTGCATTTTAGTAACATTTAAACATTTTAGAATCAGAGTAGTGTTTAACTGACACAACAACGAGGATCACATATACAGGATTTAGACTAATACAACTAGGAAACACTCCCAGAATACTCTTACCCCTGATCGCTCATCATAAATCTTGATTCCACCGAAAGACACAGTCAAGAAAATTCTCTGCTTGTGGTTCCCCTTTGAGCGGGCCGAAGCAGCAATGCCCTGCAGGGGAAAAAAAGAGGATGAGAGGAATTAAAAGCAAGCATGAATGGAAGCGTCTGCAGTAAAGGTACAGTCTCGCTTTATTAGCAATATGCTGGCGTAGTTTGCATAGAGGACGTTTGCTCAACTATTCTGATATGCATCATTTGTAAGGTCACTTTTGTTACTCATTCAGCACTTCTAAACGTGAAAGATGTGTCTAGTTTGCTAATTTTCTCAGACTTCTGAAGGCAAAAAAGAAAGGGATCATGCTGAGTCAAGTCTTTCTCATTTGATTAGCCTTTTGTTCTATAATGAAATTCTAAACACGTTCCATGGTCACTTGAAGCAGGTTTGAAAACTTGACATCTTTCTCAAAGCAATGCTGAATAATATATACACACAATGCATTCAAAAATTGTTCAGCCCCCTTTATTTCTTTATTTATTTTTTGTTATGCTGTTATGATTTTCTCAATATTTAGATTTTTGACCAAATATTGTCCGATCCTAACAAACCATACATCAATGGAAATCTTATTAATTCAGCTTTCAGATGATGTATAAATCTCATTTTTTTAAAAATGGACACTTATGACTGGTTTTGTGCTCCAGGGTCACATATTAGAAATCCATGGCTTTGTAGTAAGTTTACTGGAAACCATCCCTCTTCAGGCTAAACAAGATCAAACCACACTAAATAATTAAAAATAAAAATCAATCTAGAAATCTGAATCTACATTTACATTAACCATGAACCATGAATATTTCGTCCCATATGTTATCACAATAACTGAGATAATTCAAGATCCTGTTTCGATTCCACATCAAAACTTCTTTTCTATAACTAATGGACTTTTACTTAACTGCTTCATTATGCACTTCAAATGCAACAGAGGGGAAAAAAAGAGAGCAGACCTCTTCATCCATGAGGTGTCTTTCCTTAGTTTGCATTTATATTTATTCATTCACCATATGTTTTTTATTCTATCCAAAGCGACTTGCAGAACATCACTATCTTTGTATTTAATTTGTACCAAACAAAGCACCGTCCCGCTGTCTTTCATCTAAAGCAACCGCACCTCCTGCTCTTTGAGGACTCTTGTCTTTACCTTCAGCTTCATCATGGAGTCCTGACACAGCTTGTCTCCTCGTGTGGCCGTCACTTCATCAATCCCAATCAGCTTGGCCTTGTAACTGACGCCGTCGCCCCTGAAGCGCTGAATCAGGGCCTGCTCGCTGCGATCCCGACCTGAGCAAACACCACAGAGAGATGCAGCGAGACTGCAATGAAAAATCATGTAGTCATAAACCCTTAGAGCATGTTATGCTGGAATATTTGCAGATATGCACAAGCTCAGTGTTTGGTAAGAGTTCCAAAATACAGCACAGCAATTCCGTAGTTCATGAATATAAATTACATATAAAATTATCAAAGCAATTAGAGATTATTTGGATTACTTTTAAGTATGTGTGTGTTTTCCATAACTTTGTCCTCTAAACTGCCATTAGTGGTACTTGCTATGGTTTATGGTACCCTTGGGTGTATAACTCATTAATGGAGCCTCGTATCGTATCATAAGCCTGTTTCGGCCACAAAATAAAAAAGGTAATTGTGATTTTGTATCCCATAATTCTGACTTTGCTTCTCACATTTCAGAATTTTGTTTCTCAAAAATGTGAGAAAAAAGTCTCAGTTGTTTGAGAAGTCTGATATAACCTCACTTTCTTTCTCGCTGTTTATGACTCACAATTCTTACTTACTTTTTTGTCCTCAGAATTCTGTGTTTACATTTTGCAATTCAGTTTTTTTTGCTTCCACCACAAAATAAAAATACAACTAAAAAGTACAAGTTGTTACAGTGTAATTGTATGTATTTCTATTTTATTCTCTAAATTTGTGCAGCACTGAAACTAAGACCCATCAATTAAACGTGAGCTAGAACAAACAGGTGAATGTCATGAAGAAATGCCCAGGTCATATCTCAGAAAATTATGCCTATTTTAGACACATTAAGATCATTATCTTGTTTTTTAAGAAAACTTTTTACTGACATTATTTTCAAGAAAAATAGCATGAGATTCATTATAAAGCTTTAACTGTGTTCTGGTTTGAAGAATGAAACTGCTTTGCTGAAAGCCATTCTTCTCTCAATATCGTGGTCTATTCTCACATGACAACGTAAACCTTTTGGATCGGTTGAAATGAAAGTAGCTCAGTGAATGTCATCGAGGAGCATATGTTCAGCACCTCTGTGAGAGCAGGACAGATGGCAGCATACGAGGAGGAGGACGAGAGTCTCCAGACGCACCAAGCTGTCAAGATTTTGGAGTCCTGACACAGAAACTCACTGACCTCTCAACCCCCGAGAGACAAATGACCAGATATGCCTCATATCTTTTGGGTTGGGTTGTTTTGACCCAGCGGTTGGGTTGTTTTGACTCAGCGGTTGGGGTGTTTTGACTCAGCGGTTGGGTTGTTTTGACTCAGCGGTTGGGTTGTTTTGACTCAGC